TCATTGAACTTGCACTCCAATAAAATTTTTTTGTCATTTGATGTTGCAGTGTTACTTTTTATTGAATAAGCAGGATTTTCAGACAAGTGCATCTCTCCTATATCTCTGGTACGCTGAAGTGGAGCTCGAGAATGGTTCTCGTGGAGGCTCTGTATCTGCGGAATCATCTTTACGTGCTATGCATATTTTATCTTGCTTGGGAAGCGGTATGAAATACAGTCCATATAAATGTAAACCATCAAGCCTGCAACAGCTGAAAGCACACCAAGGATTCAAAGAACAAGTGAATATGCTATGTTCATCATGGACACGCGGTTTAATTGATGATCAATCAGTTGCTCTCATATGTTCAGCTGCTTTATTTGAAGAGATAACAATTGGATGGACTGAAGGTGTTCAAAATTTAGAGCAAGCATTCACGATGGTGCTTCCTGGTAATCAGTTTTTCGTTGCCTGTCATTTTCTCCCTTTTAAACCTGAAATTTCATGTCCTTTGGGTCTATTGTAGCTAGCTGCACCTGTTTGCATACCCTCGTTCAGTTTGATATTTCCAAGCTTTGTTCGTAATACGTTTATTTCTGGATCTCTAAAGCTATTGCATAATTCATTTTTCAAGCACAAATGGTCTTACCTAAAGAATGTTAAGGGTAAATTATGTTCTTTCGTGATGCTAAGGATAAATGTAAACTGTGTTAAGGGTAAACGGCATTCTTGGGTGATGCTATATCTCCATGCTCCATATTATTTTACTATATTACTTTTGCTTTCCTTTCTTTCATGAGGAGTATTAATTGGTGAACAATTTATGTGCCTTTATCATGTCATATCACATATTATTGTTATTATTGTATACCGTTGTAATTGGTATTTTAATAAGAAAGAGAGTTTAATGAACTAGACAGCAAATATGAAGCAGAGGACTTGTCCCTAAATTAAAAAATATTTCATTATGTTGAAGCGAAGCCTTTTAATTCCGTTGGAGATTAATCAAGGGGGATATGGATATCATAGTTAGACCTTCATGGCATTCTAATTTCTTGATTTCTTATTGTTTTTCTGGTTGAATGTTATGAATTTTATTGAAAATGTGTCTATATAAATGTTTAAACTGGGTGTTCGTTTTCTTTTGCCCTTTTTTTTGGTTGTTGTGGGGTTGGGGGGTGGGGGGTGGGAGTATTGATTGTTGGAAATTCATCTTGCAGTTCCATGAGAATTTTGATTTCTCTTTTGGATAATGTTTTCTTAATCAATGCAACTAGTAACATTTTTATCTAATGTAACTTACCTGATGTGTGTTTCTGAACAAGAAGCCGAAACCAATGAAAAGACAAATTTTGATTTGTTTATTATGCTATTTGAATCAAGGGGTTATTTTCTTTTCAGATTGTGATCATGGAAGTTATATATTAATTAGACATCTGAATACTGGTGTAATATGCGTCTGGAACCAAACTAATTTTCTCATTGGGTTTTGCTTTATAGGAGTGTTTAAAGGTGTAGAGATTGATTTTGTACATTTGAGGAGTAGCCTCTTATCTCTTATTTCTTTTTGGTGCATCGATTAGGTTCCTTTATGTGTAGAAGATTGGTTGTTGTTCGGAGAAAGCCATATCTTTGTGTAGGGTTCTACATTCTGATATACTTCTTGTATACAAGCATCATTAACAAAAACGTATTACTTTATCAAAAAGAGGTCTTCAGTATAGCTGCTAGTTGGATACAAGTCCACTATTCGGTGTTCAGAGTCTGTTTCAATAGAGTAGGACTATATTCAAATGAAATTCTACTAATACTCAAGAGCAATTCTGGTGTAGAATAAATACTTTGTATGTTGTAGATGTCCATTTAAGTAGATGAGTTTAGATAGTTGAAGAGAGGGGAGTCATATCTGAGTTGCTCCTGCATTTATGTAAATACTGCTAGACCTAAAAGTTGTACTGACAGTACTAACTATGTGTGAATCCTCCAAGCTGCATTAAGATTAAGTTATCCTTGTCGGGCATACCTTTCTCTAGTTATAACTTATTCTGTAGTTTGGAATCCTCTCCTCCACGCCCTCACAGCCAAGAATTAAAAGAGAGGAACAGCAATATGTTATTTGTTTTTTTTTTTTTTAGAAGTTGTGTTACTAATTGATAATCTATGTACTTTACCATTGTCTTGAATCTCACACATCTCTTCCCGATGGAATATTTCATCTTACTGAGGGTTACTGCAATGACCTTGCTGTAGAAAGGAGGCGGAACAGTTATCATCTGGAGCGCTTGTTCAACTTTTACATGACGATGCTTTGCAGACATCATCAAGAAATGAAGCTGTCAAAATTTTGGGAATATATAGTGAAAGGATTGGATATATATCCATGCAGTCCAAATGTTTACAATGCATTAGTTGAAATTGGCCATCTGTATGTGTCCCCCAATAAGCTGCGGTGGATCTTTGATGAAAATTTCCAAAAGTATGACCCTCTTAACTTTTCCCCCAATTCTATGTCAGTAGTCAGTCCCTGTTAGTTCTCTTATTTTTTGTACTACTTCTCAAGCGGCTAAGTTTGCGAATCTTACTTTCAAATGCATGTTTATACATGCGTTTTTCTATCTGAGTGCTTCTTAAAAGTATTTAATCTGACTTTCAAATGCATGTTTATACGTGCGTTTTTCTATCTGAGTACTTCTTAAAAGATCTTTCTCTAAGGGCTCTGTTTGTGGCAGGCTTTAGGAATGAAAAGCTGTGTCAAGCATGTATTATAGAAGGTCTCCAATGTCGAGTTCCCCCTCTTTCATGTCGGAGAGCCTTATAATGGACAATTAGATCTAATTTCCCTCCTCCTTTAATCAGTAAATTCAAAAATGAAAATAAAACACGAACAAGAAAAGTTAGGATGACGCCTTTTTTGACGGTATTATAATCTTTCTTGGTTTGTATTTGAAATCTATCCTTTTGAAAGAAGATGCAGAAAGCATACATACCCAAACATGTAGCTGTTTAAAGCTGTGTTTATATTGTTTTGCATCTACTGGATTCAAAGATTTATTCTCACTCTTTCTTGTGTCCTTGCTTAAACTTCCAGGAAACCATCGCTTGTTGCTTGGCTCTTTGCATTATCATTCGACATGAGCAAAGGTGGTACAGAGCATAGAATACGCAGACTTTTTGAGAGAGCATTGGAGAATGTGAAGCTACGTAACTCAGTTTTAATCTGGCGCTCGTATATTGCCTATGAAAGTGATATAGCATGCAACCCTTCTGCAGCTAGAAGAGCTTTTTTTCGTGCCATCCATGCTTGCCCGTGGTGAGTATATTATTCATGATATGCTTTAACAGTGAAATGATTCAGGATAAAAAGGAATTTCATACTTTAAGAGGCCAAGAAGGAAAGAACTCGACATAATATTATTAAAACAAAAAAAAAGAAGAAAAAAGAGAGGAAATTGTTACTAGAGCCGGGTTCACGGGGAGAGGAAGGGAAATCAAACTCTTTATTTCTAGTCATTCCCCTCTTCCAACTGTTGGACAATATTGATGTACTTTGTATTAGAGCTTCCCATTTCACTTCAGCAGTTAAATGCCCTTGAGGGAGTGAGCCTCTGTTTACTCGTATCTTGTAGCCTTGGTGCAATTTCTATCGAGTCATGGATTTATTGTATAACTTTTTGTTTGCCATGGATGGCCTACCATTTTTGTCCCTCTAGCACTATGGTGTCGATTCCTACATTTCCCAAGTTGTCTCCTTGCTTACCATAACACAAATGTCGCTCAATTGTAGGGTTTTCTTACTCTCTTATTTTAATATTTCTTTAGCATTGACCTAACCTTAAAACTGTAGTTTGCAACCCTGAAAGATTGCAGTATATTCATTTTAACACCACTCAGTTAATTTTTATTGCTGTGCTTTGTAATAACCTCATTTCTGTTGCTCTACATTTTCACAGGTCAAAGAGGCTCTGGCTTGATGGTTTCATCAAGTTAGCTTCTGTGCTTACAGCAAAAGAGTTGTCGGATCTCCAGGAAGTAATGCGGGATAAAGAACTCAATTTGAGGACTGATATTTATGAAATACTATTGCAAGATGATGATGAATCTTAAGTCGTGAGAATCAAGATTTCGTCAGTTTGGGATGGGTTACATGCCTGTTATATGACAGTGTCACATTCTGCTACATGGCTGTTGTCAGGGCTTAACTATGAAGCACCTGCCCTTGGTTGGCTTCGTACAAGGGCGTGAGTGATGCCTTTGCTCTTAGTACATGCTGATTACTGTCATGTTGTGAGTGGAAAGAAAGATGTTTCTTTCCATTGAAGATAACAGAAACTGTAGATATTGCGTGTGTATTACTTGTGTGGTTGTATGACAGCCTGGTGATGCCTTTTCTGTAATCATTCATCCTAACGTGATTAAATCAGCAGCTAGTAGTGGTACATTGGTAACTTGGTAAGTGGATGGTTGATGTTTCAGCTACCCTCGATGTTCTACCAACAACAGAAGAATTAGCCAAAAGAAAAGATATTGTCTTGCGAAGGATTACGGGAAATGCATGTCCTTTCTCTTGACCCTGAGGATTTCTCTGGTATCTATTTCTCTATGTTATGAGTGACAATAGCCGCATATTTACATTTATCATTATTTGAGCCTCTGATTTCTTGTTTCTTTCATTTCTTCAGCATTACTTCTAGGTAGATAACCACTACAATAGATAAGTATACACTGGAACAGCCAATGCCACATGTTCTTGCATTCACGTCATTCCATTCAATAATCTTGCAGGTTTGCACCCTCTTGGAGAGGCTGAAAGTTAGCTATAGTTTCCTATCTGAATATTGCGACCACATAAATGTTAAAGACAGTAGGACACTTGCAGTAAATGATTTGAAAGGGATGAATATATGGCTACAAGTGCTAAGGAGAATGTTTCCCGAAGGATGAAGTTTAAAAGGGAGACTATCCTATACGATATATTTCACTTAGGTTGCTATGTCACCCCATCACTAGCTTTTGTCCACTGAAATAAACATCTCTGAAACTTGCTAACCGATTTGTACTTATAATCAACAGTAAGAACACATTCACAATCACAATAGCAATTGGTATACAACTGCCGAGTAAATGTTATAACTCACTCAGGTTTTGTCATCGAAGTGAAAATTTTTCTGAGTATTACCGTGACTTTCAATTAGGTAAGCTTGCTCATCTTTTCTGCTCAATTGTATATTTAAAACCGGCATCTCCTATCTATTAAAAGATTAAGCAAAGCAAAGCAAGCGGAGCAGCAGACTGGCGATTTCTTGAAATTTAAATTTCCTCTTCCTCAAAGGGGTCTTTTTCTGGATAATCTCCAATCTGCAACGCAGAATTTAGAGCTTGTCAAAAGGCCAGATCTAATGTAATTTACAACACTAACACAACTGTTTTCACTTTTGCATCCCAAACATTTTTCTTGGGGAAGTCGGTCAAGGTGAATAGGGGTGCACTTGTTTTCCGGTAGCCATTTCTAATTTCTTGACTCCTTTATGAAAACGAAATTTCAAAAATTGTAGTTTTAGATCAGCCAGAGTATGTGAAGTCAACCACACATCCTGTTCTGTATCCCCCAAGTCACAAAACTTAACAGTTAACCCACCTTTACATTCTCCAATACAGCTTGACTTCTATTTTATCAACTTCTTACAACTAAAAAGGTAAGCCATGAGTCCTCCATGTTCCTCATTAAATTATCAGTCATTTGATTTAAAATATACAACTCTTGACTTTTTTTTGAAAAGGATATACAACTCTGACTCTTCTTATCTTCATAGCATGCTCTTAAACGTTGATATTCAACTGAGCAACAAGGTTGTATAGCTTGAATTGCATTAGATGTCCCATAGCTAATATTGAATGCCTAGTATTAACAACTGAGAATAATCTCTTCATTTTATAAATCACTAAAGGCACAGTGGAATTGGATGTTTGTTTACGACATTCTAATCACAGCATCTCCAACTTCTCACATTATGAATATTCCCAAATCAAGATTCTATGACTTGTAATAAGTGTAAATATATTCATCTCAAGAAAGATAAACCATATCACATTTCAGCCCAAGCATGAAACAGATACTAGCAACATTAACTGACAAGTACAATTTTTTTATCAGAAAATTATCCGGCATGTTTATTAGGGCATTGAAATATGGCAACGATACCCTTAATACAAACCTTTACTTTGTCTGGTCGGACCATTGCACCATGAAGGGGAGGGCAGTCAAAGTAACGTTTCCCTTTCACCCTGTGAAACATATGAGAAGAATTTGGTTTAGATGCAGCAATTATTGTAGGAACCTTTTGAACAGTTTCCGAAATATAGCATTTCTTCAGAAGTGAAATTGCAAGTGTGGAGTATCAGAGTAAAAAAGAGAGCACTTGTGCGGTGTGTCAATACACAAGGCAAGCATTTCTGGAATAAGTAATCTGCAGCAATAGAGCTTAAGAGAACACTGGCCAAGCATTACACTTTATAATGCAGCAGAGCAGATACATCATTTGCTGCTCATGACGGGTGAGTTCCATATGACTTGTTACCTATCAATTGCTATCCCATTATTCTAAAATTCCCAATTTTCTGTTGATAATCATTTTCTTCACATAAATGAAACTTATCCCAACCTCTTGTGAAGCAAGATCTCGAGTAGATTATGCACCATCCGTGCTTTGGTAGTAACTCTAAGTTATAACCCCATCGGAACTGGATATATTCCACTCCTATATATATATATACTGTAGCACCCCAATAGTTCAAATACAATTTTCCAATTAATTTGGTGAATGCATATACCAATAGCTATTTACGTGCACCATTACCTGCCCACCCACCCCACACCCCCACCAGAAAAGAAAATCACATTTCTCAAAAATTAGTATGTTCTCTGCCATAAATTTGTGTACACCAACTTTAGGACGTGAAACTAAAGTAGTAAATAACTCGAGGCTAGTAAAAGAATTTACAGTCAATTGACTAAATATTTGGTTAGACCTGGAGAAGAAGAAATCTAATGCTGCTGTTTGAAAACAGGATCGTCAACACCAGATTGAGTTCAACCATAACAGAAGGAACACGTAACTAGTTTATCATCTGAAATCTCCTTCAAAATAATTAATGCAAGTAAAGATCGATTAAGCTTGTGGATGCAAGGGTAAACTTTTTCTGACTATAATAAGCACCAAGGGTGAAGAATTGGTTAACGCATGTCCTACAGTTGAAATTGGACATGTAAACATGGCTAAAGTTTCTAAAATAAGGATTGGTGCAAACGAGCCAATACAAGCAAACCATACGATCTTTCACCGGTAGGCAAGTCATTCATAAGAGACATGCATAACACATGCTTCCTCACAGAGTAAACTCTCTACTGCTAGTTACTACCAATAAAATATATGTATAGCTACTTCAAACTAAGATTTAACTAGGAAGTTTGTGTTTCTGACATACATGCCGTCATGTTTTCCTGCTGGTTCATCAAACTGCACTCCAACCCAAAACCCAGGTGCAAGTGTTTCTGCCTGACCAACAAATTTGACCGTCCCTCTTCTCTCTCCAGGTTCCACTTCACATCTGTCCCCTATCTGCGATCACGAAGATAACAAAACCGGAGCCAAACAAGTTAACCATAACGCTAAACGATTATTCTTCTGAAACAGAAAACGTTAAGTTGCAGAAAGAAAATAAAGGAAAGAAGTGTCCAGAAGAACATTAACTCCTGCACCCCCACTGCGAAAAAAAATATCTAAAAAGGGGAAGAGAAAAACATAAAAGAGAAGGAAGAATCTTAACAAATTTAACAACAAAAGTACTGTATATGAACTAAAGAACCTATCTGTTGTGTTTCAGGTTAGGTAACAAATTGCAAATTTAATTCCATTCAGAAATAGAAGCACTCGAGGTATAAATGGTTTTGTCATAAACATATTGATGGCCTACCATCAAGTATCAGTAGTGACAACTATGAAATGAAAAGTGTTACTACAGATTATGTATCTCCACCCTTAGTTACAAGTCAAACTATCAATGATCCAATCAAAGAACAAAATTAATCTACAATAACTCACTAATTTATGCTAAGTTAAACCTTTCTCTTTCTATTTATTTGAATGTATATATTTTCTAATTTGGGTTGGAGGCACTTTTAGTCGCAGGAAAATACATTGTTGCAAATTGTTTAAAAGTACATATGCATACAAGGAAATTTCTTTGGGTACTTAGGGCAGGTATATTAGTCAACTATTTCATTTTGTAAATAGCATCTTCTCTGACAATCAGCAAACAAACTCTTTGCTTCAGCAAGAGATAGCGTATACCAAAATAATGTACATAAAGGCAAGCCTCAATAACTGCATATTTAAAAGGCTCACGTGAGAAAACTGAAGTATGGTCAAGAATGTATATACTACTTTAATATGAGAATGCAATAGACATATTACATAGCTTGAAAGAGAACTGCAATAGAGATAGATCAACTAACCTTAAAATTAACACATAGATCTCCCATATAGTTGTCAGATATCTGTTAGAAAACGCAAAGTGAGGAAATGAATAAAAGATCTAGCATCGCAAAATATACCAACATGACACAAAAATGACAAGTAAATAGTACTTTCAGCAACTGGTATTGTTCAGCACCAAAAAGCTCTTCCCAAAAAGTAGTGAGGCAAGGAACTTGCTATATTTTAGTGACAGTGATTCACTTAAACGTTGCAGCAGTTCTATAACCACCTGACTTTCCCTTCCAAACATCCACTCTAGATGGCATCTAAATTTTAAATAGCTTTTGTGTTAAGAAACTGAAAGGGAAAATGCTCTCAGGCACTTTCCCTGAGACACTTCTCCTTCATGCTTCCTAGGATTGCATCACCACCCACCAAGAGCCAAGCTTCCCGCAACCAAAACCCAGTAAAGTTCTCCGGCGTACGACCCCTCATGCGCGGCCCAGCTCCAGCGAGATCTCAGCCACGCGCCGGCGCGTGTGGCTTTTTCCGGCTAGATCTCACTTTTTCTTCTTCAGACAGCCTCTTCGCGAGGCTTTTCCGAGCCTACCCATCCCAGTTTTAACAAAATCCGAAGACTTTTTCTTTTTCCGGCGACGCATGTGGCTTTTTCCGGCCAGATCTCACCGTTTCTTCTTCGGGACAACCTCATCGCGAGGCTGTTCCGAGCCTACCTACCCAAGTATCTCCAAAATCCGATGTCTGAAACTATTTTTCGGCGACGGGTGAGGCTTTTTCCGACCAGATTTCACTTCTTCTTCTTCGGCCAGCCTCTTCGCGAGGCTTTTCGGACAACCGAATTTAGATATGATGGATTCTACATAGAGAAGCTCGTACTTCTCTCTAGAATCTAGAAAACTAGAAAACATGTCTTCCATCAAAGCTGCCTCTTGGCCAGCCCTAGAACGTGGGGGAAGATGCCATCGAAAGCTCGATGTAGGGCAGGAGCCGCACTTCTCGCTGTCTGAGTAGCACACTCTCAGGTGCAAGGGTTTCTTGGAATCTTGTCTGATTGGGTCTTTCTCCAAATGGGTTGGTTCTCCAAAGGCTGTTAGGAACTGGGCAGTAGAGGTATGGAACGTCAAGGACGGGCTGAAAATATCGCAACTGGGGGACACGCAATATCTCTTTCGATTTGTTGACGAGTCTCGAGCTTCAGAAATTCTTGTCAGAGGAAACAGGTGGTTCGATGGGAACTTCTTAAAGCTAGACAGATGGGTGGAGCACGATGGGTGTCTCGACCCTCGTTTCTCCGGCGAAACATTGGGGGTCAACATGGTGGGTCTCCCGGTGCATCTTTGGTGCCTTGACCTATTTAAGAAGATTGGGAAAATCTGTGGGGGTTTTATTGATGTCACTTGCAGCCTACATGATCTCTCGCGAATGAGGATTGTGGTGAGGAAAAGGGGCAGAATCCATGTCTCCACTGTGGTGGAGGATGGCTACTTGAGTTATAGGGTTTGGTTGAGCCCTGAATTTCGCCCTATCTTTATGCCTGTGATAGTGGCGGGAGAAAAGGGAAGGTCAAATAGAAGGGAGATGAGGGGAAATCAGTCTCTGAAGGGAGGGGAGGGCTCACCGGATCAGTGGACTAAGCCGGAATCAGACGTTAGATCGAGAAGAGACGGGGGGTTTGAATTTGGGAGAAGACGACAAAATTTTATCAGGAGGAAAAGACGTGAATGTCCCTGGGTTAGTGATGAGGGCTGGAAAGGCAGAATGGGACGGTCCTCTTTTAATTATCATAGGGCCGATCAAGATTTCAGCAAGTATAGGCCTGGGCTTCCACACATGGGCCCAGCAACTTTTCCCAATTCTAATAGAATTGATCCTAAGGGGGCCTGATTATTTCAAGCTGCGTCTGATAAGGCTCCTAAGCATATGGGAACAGTCGCTCCTTCTTCTGCCAATGGTGCTTCACACAGTGGTATTTCTTCACCGAGCTCTAGTGACCCGCGCCCCTCTTCGATGGCCCCTGCTTCAGGGGCAGCACCGGCTAAAGCTGGTGGTGTTACTCCACGGCCTCCCGCCTCTGATGGACCCAGCTACATCGCCCCCTTATATTCTCCTATGCTTAGCTGTGCTGAGGTTACACTTCAAGCTCCTTCTTCTTCTGGGGAGATTGTTGCGCCTGCCCCAATTGATGTTAGTGCCGGACCAGTAATTCCAGTTAATA